GTGTGTGTACACATGCATACCTACACTATGCTAAATTCAGTGTTTCAATGACCGGCACTTATGGCTGGATGACAGCCATACAGGCTACTTTTGTAAGCAATGAGTATCTATACTGTCCAAAGAGGAGCTCCAGGAAACAGTGCATGTTGGGCAGGCACTGTGCAAGTTCCTCCTGCAAGTTCCTAGAGCACAGGAGAGGCATTTCCTCTAACTGTGGTGACAGAGGCTGGAGAATTAGTGGGAAGTGTGAGATTGATCTATCAGTCTTACGCTCTGGGAGTTCTGCCAGTGATTTCACTGCAAGCCAGAATCTCGTCTAAGGAAGACAAACAGGCTGTGCCCCTTCGTGGGAGACCACAGGAAGGGATGCTTCTGATACTCTCTCTTTGTGCTATACCACTTCATGCAAAGGTTCAGGACCAGAGGCAGCCAACAAAGACATACAGCAAATATCTCTTTCTTTCCTAAATATATTCAACTAACTTATCTTAATGTTGATCCTTTTTCTCACTTGGAGCCCTAAATATATACAGATTCCTTCTATTTTTCTTAGTCATGTGGCTGATTTTTCATATCTAATTACACACACACACAAGCATACACTACCAAGCTTATCCACTAAATCTTATTACTTGTATTGAAAGTACAGAAGAGATAAATCAAAAGGATAAAGAGTCGGGAGAGCTAAGAATGAGAAATTAGAATGAGAATATCACTCTTAAGTTCATCACTGTTCCTCAGTATGCTTTACCATACTTCTCTAATGCAGTTTAAAATATTTCAGTTGTAAATGTGTGTGTCCCATACCCACAAACAATTTAACCAGGATTTACATAGAGCATACTAAAGACTAGGCCTGAAGTTATAAAATTATAAATGGAGGGAAAGAAGATGGGAAATCTGCTCAGCATTACCTTTTCCTTCTTCTTGTGTTTCATTTTTATTTATACTTGTTTTCATAGATGGGGGTTCATTCCCATCAGAGACCTAAAAAACAAAGAAAGAAACCAATCCACCTGTAAAGCTGAATATGTATTCAAATACAGCAAATTATAGGATGCAAGCAACACCTTTGTTTCTGCTCCTGCAGTGTACCTAGGCAGCCTGAAACACTCTATATTGAGACCAGCTGAGGGCTGGGGTACTGGACAACAACCTCTTTCACAAAGACGTGGGATCTGAAACCCACCAAATTAAGAAATTAAATCTGTTAACAAAAAGCACAAGTGAACACAAACCCAACTCTGATGTTGCTACATCTCCAGCTACAATATGTGGAATGAAATCCTGGTTTCCTTAAAGTAGGAAAGAGTTACCTCAAGGGTGAGCAATTATTTGGGCTAAAGAGCCATTTAAGGAGTTTTGCTGAGCTCTCAAGGGCCAGAGGGCGGGGGGTGCTGAGCTGGCCTCAGCCCCCTTCACAGCAGGGGAGAGGGTTGGCTCGGAGAGATTCCAATTTATCCTAGCCAGGTGGAGAGGATGGGTGAGGTCTCTGTGGAGACTGGCCCAGTACCCCTGTGGGCAGAAAGCTCTCAGCCAGGTGAATGGGATAGGGCCATGAGTGGTCAAAGGGCATACCTGGGAGCAGGGTGGGCAGGCGGTGCAGGGAGGTGACAGCACGAAGTGAAGGCTCGGGACAGAGTTGTGATCCACTCCCTGTATGTCCCTGCGATGGGTTCCAGTTCCGCAGTGAACTGCAGAGCAAAGAACTGGTAAGCATCACAGAGACTTGAGGAGTGGATTGTAGCTCTGCCCCAGATCCCAGCTCTGTATTATCACTGCCCCATGATCCCAGCCCTGGCCATCCATTCTGCTCCCAGGCACCACTCTCCGCCCGCCTGCATCCCCATCTCATCTACCTGGATAAGCATGTCCTGCC